GCTCTACTCGGAGACAAAAAACTGTAGATAAAATGGTTGATGATATAAAAAGGGATAAGGTTGGGACTAGTAATATGATTAAAAGTACTAATATCCTTAAGGCTCGAGCAGGGGGGAGGCAAGAGTTGGAAGGAGTGGATGGAGAGGTCGAATCAGTGATGGTAGCCACAACACCCTCAAGTAGAGATGTGAAGACTCGCAAGAGGAAGAGAGAAGTGGAAGGATTGGGTAGTCCTTCAGTGGATGCTGTTTCGGAAGGAAACTTGAGAGAGACGGCGCCCATGATTTTTGCTCGATGCAAGACGGCGGCATACAATAGCAGCTCGGAGCTCAGAAGACCACTTGAAGTAGAGAGGGAAATAGAGGTTTCCACCAGTTCGACATCGGAGGAAGACTTCAAGCCTCAGAAGATAAACGTGAAGAGAGGTTCAACGAACGGACAGACATGGGAAGTAGATGTCGGCAAAGAATGGATCTCGAAGGCACACCAGGCCACGGGCAAGCGAGTGACAAGTGATCCATTGGAGAGGAACAAGACGAGGAACACCTCCCGGACGTGGTGGGTGGCCCTTGAAACATTGAAAGAAATGGAGGACTGCTGGAAGAAGTTGGACAGTGGAGTAGCTCGCAAGCGACGCAATTGGGCCACCCAGCAAAAGGCCGAGGTTAATAAAATAGAAATGGCAAATCATCTGAAGAGGTCCTGGCAGAGTTTGTTGAGGGATCATTTTGAAGAAGCAATGAGGACACCCTCATCAGCACCACCATTAATGGCGAATCCCTTCGTTAGAACTGCAGGACAATTAATGTTCACCTGGAGTCTGGTAGGAATAGAGTTGGAAACACTGACCTCGTATGACAGGCTGAAGCTGGGAAGCAAGAAGCTAGATGTGTATCAGGCACTGATGCATCACGTAGCCAGGGACAATGCAGGTTTGAGCCTGGCTAGAAGAAAGGATGCCACGTGTTTCATGAGATGGATAATGTCGATGATGTCTGATAGCACCATCCTGGCATGCCAACAGAGAGCAAGCGGAAGTAAAACCATGGAAAAAAGAGTCTCAACGATCATCTTGAACGTGTATCAGAGTACAGGAATAGAAAAGGAAGATGGTTCCAGACAATCCCTAGAGAACCACAGAAAGCTAGACGAGGTGCGGAGGTTTTATAATAAGAAGTTCGAAGAAGAACATGATGTTCACCGTAACCTGGCCTCGTCAGAGCAGTACTCGAGACTCAGCGAGAAGGGGGAATACCAATATGTGTCGGGAGTAATGGGAATAGCCTACAACCCCTTCTTAGACTCGGAAGCTGGAGGCGCCCACAGGAACCATGAGGTAGCGGAGCTACTGAAGTTTTGGACAGAAAGAATAATGGAAATAGACGCGGTGGAAAAAGAGGGGCCGAGCTTGGGCCTGATTCTTGAGAAAACACCAGAGGTGGTAAGCATACCGCGTTCAAACAAGAGAGTTGAATAGAACATGGGCGATGGAAATGGCTTGTTAACCACGAACTTGGGAGTGGTATGGAAGCTATTAAGACCCTCCTGGTGTCCACATCCCCACGCGAGTCTGATCGAGGAAACCACCGAGCGAGTGAGGTTAGCACCAACGGAAGATGAAGATCTGGCAAAGTTGAGTGTGCTGCATAAGCTAATTTCACCTCAGATGCAAGAGCCAGGCGAAAAAACGAGTAATCCCGGGTCAGCAAAGAAATTGGAGCCGGGTAGCTGTCTGGATTCGACGTGTGGAAACGGAGAGCACACCTGCGATGGACGGTCATGCGTTAGAATACTGTCATTTCAAAAAGAAGACCTGGTCACTTGGTTCGAAGACATAACAGAAAGGGAGAAAAGTGAAGTGCAAATAGTAGCGGAGTGTTACGCGAGAACCACTGTGAATATAGCGACAGCTCTCGGATTCTTCTCGAGAATGTGTAGTCTGCAGTCACTGGAAAGACTAGAATCTGAACATCATTTAGTGAGCGTAGAATCATGGCCCGGGGTGTTGCAGGTGACTCAAAAACACATCCGGAGCTGGAAGGTTGGTCTCGAGGCGGAAATGGGATTTCCCATGAGCGAAGCTTATGGCTTGCCATTGAACGCGAAATCGCTGATAGGGTCAATGATGGCCAACTTGTGCGGAAGTCACTACCCACTGCACATGGTGATGGTGGAAGCATCCAGCCAGAGAGTACTGGTGGACAAGGCCTTCTCAGTGCCCAAGTGCGTGAGGTTGGCTCGGATATCGCATCACTCGCACAAGTTGTTGAGAAAAATCAGAGGGACAGTACCAAAAGAATTGAGAGATGACTTGAGTGAAATCTGGGGAGAAGAACTTTTGAAGTTGGAGAGAGAGAACACAAGCGATCACGAGAGACAAAACGTGATCGGAAAACCTGTGGGAAGTGCTCCAAACCTGGAAGATAACGACACGATACATGAGAAAATGATGGAGCTTGAGCCTCTCTTGGAAGCCTCGGGGGAGCGTAACCTCAGGAGCATTGAAATCACCCATAGAGAATGCCCATGCCACTGTGTAGCGCAAACGGTGTGGTATCCAGATCACAAGAACCTTTGCCTGGTGTGGGATATGGAAGAAATCCGGTCGATCGGACTACCGGATCACCGACAGAAGGTGACGATCTTGGTAGTGAGTACGATCTTGGCTCTGAGATGGATAGAAGAGAATATAACAAAGTATCGGGAAGCGGGGACGCCAACGGCAGAGTCAATATACGCGATAGACTACAGTAGGAGACTCGAGTTGTTTGAGACTGCGTGCAAGGTATTCGCCATACCAACGGAAGTTAGACATGTCTGGAGCCGTTTGAGGTACTTCCCATGGTTTCGGGCGACGCTGACGTCCTGGTTGTACATGACAACGAAAGATCACATGAGAAAACATCAAAAGGAGTATCGACAGTTCCAGGCCGAGATTGGGCCGGAAGCTTTCAAGAGACCCCTGTTAACCCATCGTAATGCAATCACGACAGGATGGAAGAGAGTGGGTAAAATGTCTAGAGACAATACCAAGGCGAGGGAATCGATACTAGAGGAGGACCTGGCGAAGGACGTGAGCTTGAGCCTGCACAATTCCTTTTGTTTGAACCGGGAATCTAGGGTGAAGGCACTACCCAACCAAGCAAAGAGGTTGCAAGAGCAAAGAGAATGGATGCGATCCTACGAGCAGCTGAAGGCTTGGGAGGAGATTGTGATTAGCTCCGATGATGAAGAGGAACTGTTGAGACAGTTTGCTGTATCTAGTACTTCAGGGTGCAGTACCTCCAAGGCGAAGAGTGCGAGATGAGCAGGTGGCTCGAATGGATCTTGAGTCTTGAGAGGGAAAGGGGGCTTGAGCGTGGATCCGGGTGAAACCTGGGTTCACGAAAAAGAAATTTTAACAAAACAAGATATTGTTATTAATATGCTATATCTATTATATAAACGAAAATGCTGCATGACAATTTCCTAATTGAATGGGACAAAAGAAATTTTAAATTGGCTTGAAAAGCGAGAATTCAAGGGTGCAGGTGTGTACAGATTTTGATTGCTGTTTAGCGATAGTGTGAAAATTTTACATGGCTGTGAATTTTGGGGTGTAGATAAGCTTAAGTCTGCTGCAAACTTCTGTAAATGACCACTGGCACTGTATCTTGAGTAACACTCGGTTTTCTGGGACTCACTGGCAGAAGACAGCACGCGATGAGGACATCGATCTCGAGTCCGGGGAGTATGTGCCAGTCGGTCATATTTGGAAGTTTGACCTTGAGAGAAGCAAAAGCACTTAATTTTGGAGTGAAATTTAATTTTTCAAAATTTCGAATGGAACCTGTCATGCACGATTTTCTCGCGATAACTGAAAATCAGAAAAGAGAAGTCAGAACGATCGAGTGACAATCGCGGGAAAGTTGCTAGAAAAATCAGTGGGAAATTGCTATTCGCAATTTCAGTAGCAATAATAATCGAGAGTAGAGCTGTCCCATCTAAAACAGAGACGAGCGCATTCCCACGAACTGGATTGTTGTGATTGGAGTACTATTATTAACTGGACCAGAGTGAACCTTCGGTGGAAAGGTGGACAGCTACAGTGTCCCAATGGTTCACGAGAACTTACAGTCTAGAGTAAAAACTTGTTCTTGTTATTGAAACTGACTAACATTAAACTCATTTTAGTTACTTAATTGATTCTTGAGTTGCTTACCGACTTATTTACTTCCTGGTTCTTGAGCGTGCTACAATGTGAGTACTAATTTAAGTTTCTAGAGTGTGTTTTATGATTGTTATGTTGAGGTGAGGCGAGTTTTAGGTTGATCCATCTGAAATGGATCAAAGTTCCACTGTCTAATAAAAAGTAACTTAACGGATTGTTCCAACCCGGTTTTTAACGGCGTTCATGTATTTTGGGTATCTAGAGACCTGAGTATGGGGACGTTATTAATTCTAGAGTGGGGGGATATTTTAGTAGTAGCCTTTAAGCTGTAACGGGTCGTAGTCTCATGTCACAAGCGAACCGAATTGGCTCCGACTGATTTGAGGTACAAAAACACAAGAGATAGTGTCCCTGACTCTTGAGCCAATGGTTATAGGGCCTATTTTTCTTAAGCCTCATGTGTGACTGCAGTAGACGAATGTTACATAGAGACGGTGAAAATCATGCAAAGCTCTGTTTAGACGCTGGCCAGTCGTCTTAAGACTTAGTTTTGTTTTCCGTCGATATGTATCTTCCGGGCGAATGTTACACAGTTTTATTAACTGTAGTAATAAACAATGTAGTAATTACAGTTTTTTAAATTGAAAAGTTACTGACTCAACATATTTAGCGAGATTTTTGAATTCAATAATTTATACAAATTAATTTTCAAAATTATAGCATGCGAAATGCATGCGGGATTTGTCTATCATAGTTGTCTATTTAATAAGTTTATCACAACAATTAGGCTAACTTTTTTATCTTGACAGTTTTGACCTTCTGATTATTTTGAATTAATGAGGAAGTTTTATAGATATCAATGCAAATGGCCGAGGAATCAAATGTGTTACACGCTTCAACTAGCAATTTTGATTCAAGAACAATTGGTAACGATACTGAGCAGGCGGTGCAAGCTACTACATTACAAAATCCAGTAGTTGAGGATGATGGTGATACAGTACCCGATGTTTTCAAGTGCGCAATCTGCTTTGAAATACTTCTAGAACCCACAACAATTAACTGTGGTCATTCGTTTTGCAGGGTTTGTCTTGCACGATGGTTTGAAGCTCGAAAACTTGCTCGACAAGCTTTCATTTGTCCCGAGTGTCGAAAACAGTGGGCTGCTTATCCCGAAATAGACTATTCCCTCAGGGATGCTATGGAAATTTGGTATTCTGAGCTACTGAACGCCAGAAAAGAAGCACTGACAAATGATGACAGAAGTGTTTTAGCTCGTTTTAGAGAATTAGGTCCAGACACATTTGATCAATTTGGTAGAATGGGAAGACCAATACTGAACAGGCGAATCCCGCTAACAATGAGAGGCATGCAGTTTTTGTTAGCTGTTCTCATGAATGCAGCCCTTATCTTGGGAATAATTTTGCTTTCGCTTGTGAACATGTTAGTTGCTCCGGTGGCAGAAATGGGAGATGATTTCCAAAAAGACGATTCGAGAATAGATATTTTTCAATGGTCTGTTAATGATGTAGATCAATGGCTTGATAGTCTGGGCCAGTGGACAGCAGCATATAGACCAGCTTTTAAAGAAGCTAAAATTGACGGGTCATGGCTCCTCATTTTAGACGAAGATATTCTGGGGATGGAACCTTTGAGCGTCGAGAACAAACTTGTTGCTCGAAGATTGAACCACGAGATAGTAAAACTCAAGCTGGCAAACAATGCAAAAGCTTCCTCGACGCTTAAACGCGATCAAATTGCCAACCCCGAACAAGTTTCATCGACGACTTCAAACTTGGTGGAAGTTGAGACAAAGTCTGCGTCTCAAAGTGGTGCAAACCGGACTCCTGGAACTATTGCAGTATCTCGTCAGAAAGTTTTTGTCTTAATACTGGGTTTACTCCATTTTCCTCGCACAATCACGTTTATGTCCTATTTCGTGATAGATTTTCAGCCGATTACTGAGTTTCTCAACTCAGTGAACGTTATTCAGAAAGAAAAATTCGAAGAAGAACTACCGGAAGTCTCTTGGTGGATAGCCGCTAGGTTTTTAGTTCTCCCTCAGTTTACCATTATTTACGAAGCCGTTCGATCTGGGGGTCAGATAGAAGGTTTTGTTCGTCTTCTGGTTTTGATTCTTCTCATCCGAATGTGCGAAGAGCTGAAACTCTACTTTATATCGTTGCGTCTGCTCCTTGCTCGGCGAAATGGTGAATTGTACAAGCTATGGGTTGCTGCGTTTTGCAGATTTGGGCGAGACTTTTCGATGGTTGTCGCGATGGGATATTTGCATACCATTTTACCATCGGCGCTTATAGACGTCTACTTCTGTTACATTGTTTGCTACCCCGCCCTCGCATTCGTGTACTCGCTGTCTCGTTTCTTGTATAGGCGTGTTCCTTTCTTCCGCAATGTTGGTGTGTTATTTGTCCAAACTATGGAACGAGGTTTGAACATCGCAGTAACATATCTGCTTCGCCTAGTTTTTGGCTGGCTTATTCCCCAAATTATTCGTCTTCTGGAGCCAGCATTCAGACAAGCTGCCGCTGACCACAGGCAAGCTCCTCCTCAACCGCAGCCGAACATTGCGCAACAACGCAGACCAGCCGCAGAAGGGGGCGGTGGACGGGCATTTCTGAATTTACTGGCTGTAGACATTAACCAGGACGGGGCTAGAATGCGGCGATTTCCGCCCAATCAAAACCTTGAGCAGAATGACATACCCATTGAATAAAATTGTATAAAATTTAATGGCGACTAAGTCAAAGTTCCTTGTTACACTCATGCATAATTTTCCTGTTTTAAAAGTCAAGAGACTGTAACATACTAAAAATAGATATAAACTAGATTGCACTAAAGTCTTGCAAATTTATTTTCAGCTCGCGGATCCATTTTTAAGTAATTAAGATGTAGATGCACATTTGAGGTGAAAGATGTCAGATTATCTTGAGCTTCTCGATGGGGCGCTAGAATCCATTAAGCTTCGTTATTTTTTAGATTAACGGCTGAAATAATGACTCTCTGACTAATGGCACAGCCACCTCATAGACACAAGCTAACTGCGCCAGACAAAGGAAGCTTTCCCCTGGATCATTTTAACGAATGTAAAAATCTCATGGAAACGTACATGAAATGCATGAAGAATAGTAGAAACCAGTCAACGAAGTGCCGAGTCGAGTCGAGAGACTATTTGCAATGCAGAATGGATCACAATCTAATGGCAGAGGAAGATTTGAAGAAGTTGGGATTCAAAGACCTCAAATGAATGCCAATATAGAGCCAGAACTCTACCAAATAACTTCCATGAATGATGATTCAAACCTTGGAACCTGTCCCAAAAGTTCTGCACGTTCACAGTTTCATCCGAGTTTCACCGACATCAATGTCAACAAAATTAGAAGTCGACTATCTGATGTTAAAGTGTTTTGTCAGTTTGTAAACTGTACCAACAGACTTGTTGCTCCAATTTGGATTGACTTCTCAGGTAGAAGAGTGCGCTATCCCTGTATCAATCCAGGAAGTAGGTTGAACGTGGAGACATACGAGAAACACCCTTGGTGTTTTTTGGACGCTCAGGATCTCACTATTTTATTGACCTCCAACCAAGGACATATTTTTTGGCCCCGTCACAATATCCCAGCTTCTGCACTCCCTCTTTGCATAGTGAAAATCACTTTGCCCAAATTCAGTTTGCTTGAACTCAGTCTTCAAACAATCAGCAAGTTTTCCATTCCCATTTTTTCATTACCCGAATCTCTACAAGAGCTGATCAAAAACAGACAGAAATATACGAATCAAATATCATTTGTTATTCATTCCGACGCTGAAACAGCCCAACAGTGACGGACATGCACATCTGTTACTAACATACTTCTTGATATGAAACGTTCCTTAGTTTTGCTTCCCAAACGAAACTTGAAGTTAGTAGAAAAACTATCATCAAAAACTATCAAGAAAATGGACATCATCGTTGTCACCGACCAAGATTTTGGTTATAACCGCGACGTTCAAAAAAAAGTACAGCAGATTGTGTCATCAATAGATCATAGTAAGTATACTGTCCATCACTTGTCAGAAAATGAATTACTAAAACAGCCATGGCAGAAAAACTCAAAATTAGTCGTGTTGACATGTGCAAGCATGCCAAAAAGTGCTGAATCAGTTTTAATGGACTTCAAAAGCAGAGGTGGCGAAGTCTTAAACATCTATAAAGACGCGGTTTTCAGTCGAACAACCCCAAGAGAACAACCGAATGAGACACAGTTTAGCCACAGCTTTCTGGAAGCTTTTGAGAATCTTGGTTTGTTGCCAAATTGTCAAGTCTCGTGTCCAAAACACACCAACGGAGTTTTAATGGGAACTCTTGATACTAATTTTGATACCATTCCAGCTGTGCTGAAAGCTAACAATAATTTTCAAATCACTCTTAGAAACGAACAAGACATTAAAGAGTCTTCAAGTGAGCATTTGGTTTATCAAAATGCTACGAAGTGCTCTGAGTTCGACTACAACACATTTTGCGATAAATTTTCCTTCTTCTCTTCTTTATTATCTGCAGAGAATCAAGCTAATAAATTGATCCCACTAGTAATGCATACAAAAGTACTAGATTCGACCATGAATGTCACGCGTGCTTTTTGTCATGGGGACTTGCACAATGTTATCTGTGTCGCAGATGTGCAGTTACAAGGCAAAGGTCGCAGGTCAAATACTTGGATCAGTAACGAAGGATGTGCTATGATGTCTTTCTCGCTAGGCCTTACAAGTGCAACTGACTCTGGAAAGAACAAACTGCTCACTGAATGTCCTTCTACAATACAAATTCTGGCTGCAATGGCCGTGGTACAAGGTATGCGTTCATTGGCCCCAAAAAATCTTCAACTACCAGTGCGCATCAAATGGCCAAATGACATATACGTTCAACGGGCCTTTCCCATGAAAATTGGGGGTGTACTAGTGAACGGAGAGTTTTGTGGCAGTGAGAGAGCCAAGTTTTTGGTGAGCGAATTTCTCATTAACTTGAAGTTTTCGAGGTAAAGTTTTTAATTCGACCGAATATTATCCAAGCTCCCTGTGATGTCCCTATTGTGGGACCCTTTGGAAAAATTTGTGGGACCTCTTTAGTGAGATGCTTATTCTCTAATTACCCCTGTTGATCATCTTGAACATATATCTCAGATCGGGTAATCACTCATGCGCGAAGGACTGAATACGCGAAAATTTGGTCAGCCAATCTGAATTCAGTATTCATAAGTTTGCAAGAATCACTAATCAGACAGTTTAAAAGGCATTTGAGAATTTTCGCGCATGAGAGTAGCCACTATCTCAAATGACAATTAAAATAAATCCCGAATTGTCGGAAAACTTACACTTGGGCACGTTGGTCTGGGGCAGAAGGTTACATGTCAGTATTTAGACAGCCGCGTATTCATACTGGTCAGTATTTAGACAAATACTGTTTCAACCAATCAGAATCGAGACAAAGAAGAAATTAATAAATAATTATTATTTATTTTGGATTATTTATGTTTTTTCTCGATTCTGATTGGTTGAAACAGTATTTGTCTAAATACTGACCAGTATGAATACGCGGCTGTCTAAATACTGGCCGCACTCCGGGGCAGAACAACTGTGCCGAAGCACAACAATGCCGCTGATAAAAAGTTGCTGACAGTGCCGAAATTTTCTTATCCAACTGTTTTAATTCATCCCAAATTACTGACATGTAATTCAATTCAAATGGACGTAATAAATATTTCTGAACAAACAATTAACTCAGCTAATTGTCACTTTTACTTCTCGGTTTCGCTCCAAAACAAAAAACGGGGGCGTTCAACAGTGCCGAAAAAGGCGGGAAAGTTTCAGAATAATTTCAACGCATTTTAAAGAGCGAAAAATTACTGACGCTAATTATCAAACAAAATCACTCCAATTTCGGCGCCAAAATGTCTGCAACTGCAAATTAAACAATTATTTTGGCGCCAAAACGTCTAAATAGCAAATTTTCTCTCCTAAAATCTTTAAGTGCCACTTGAAATTGTAAACGTTCGCCGTTTAATTTTTGATTGCCGCACTTAATATGTGGAAATTTGTTCATATTTTCGGCTCTGTTGAACAAAGTTTTCATTTTCGGCACTGCTGAACAAAGTTTTCTTTTTCGGCACTGTTGTACTGCCCCCAAAAAACTATATTCACGCAAAATTGCCAACAATTTACAAACAAAACTCAAAATTTTGATATAAAGTTTTGTATGCATGTTTAGTCTTTGATAATAGTCCCGGTGCTAGGAATTTTAGCAGACCGGTTTTTTAGCAGACTCAGAACAATTTGGGGATTGGGCTGAATCCCAACTTTGTTTAGATTGGCATTGGGCTGAATTTGGACAATGAAAAACCAACTGTCTCAATCAATCAAACACTAGCTGAGCTGGACGCGCAGGCTGACAAAATAGGACGAGAGCAGCTATTGGCTTCCATCTACGCACATTTCCTAAGTTTAGTCAACTACGCAGAGAGATATGGCTTCGACTCAAACATGATATCACAATACTGCTCCCTGTGGATTCACTCGGAGCAGAAGATTCACTTCTTCGAAAGAGACCAATCGGATGTGTGTACCGCCGAGGAACACTTAGTGAAGAGAGAGGGAGTGATCAAAACAGTAGATTCTCAAGGCTTCCTTATTGTAGAGACTGATACGACTAGCAAAGAGCTAATCAGTCTGCACCCCGATGGAAACAGTTTCGACCTCACCCAGAATCTGGTCTATCCTGTAGCTCGAAAGTTCAAATAGACGAATGATATGATTGAGATAATTTTATTTTCATATATGTGGAAACCTTGTTTTCACATTTAATTAGCTTATAACTCATTAACTTTTGTTTCTGTTTTGACTGACTTTGGATGGGGGAAGTGTTTTTTTACTTTCAAGAGTTGGTAATATTGAGAATGTGCTGGCTTTCAGGTCATTGAAATGACTACAAGTTTGGCTAAAGTTCCCAAGAGCGAGTTGACCTCGGATGAACTGGCAAAAAGGGAAGAGGAGGAGTTCAATACTGGTCCCCTTTCAGTCCTCACGCAGAGTGTGAAGAACAACACTCAGGTGCTGATCAATTGTAGGAACAATAAAAAGTTACTTGCTAGAGTCAAGGCATTCGACAGGCACTGCAATCTAGTGCTGGAGAATGTCAAAGAGATCTGGGTTGAGACTCCGAAGAGTGGAAAGGGCAAGAAGAAGGCCAGACCAGTCACAAAGGACAGATTTATCTCCAAAATGTTTCTAAGAGGAGACGGCATCATAATTATCCTCAAAAACCCAAATGCTGCTCCAGCCTCCTAGATCTGCGTTTTCTATTCGGTTCTTCGATTCCCAATCGAATGAAGTTGATCCATGTCACGAGTTATTGATATTAAGAGAGCGATATTTGATTTTATTTAAGTTAAATGTCTCTGTGTGAACAGTTGAGTTTTGTTCGTTTTTTGAATTTACTTTGCAATATTCATTACACTTGCGTTGCTATAATCACCAAGATCCTTTTTGTTTGAACGGTGTCAATGCTTTCATATTCATTGCTGATTTACATTTCAACATAGAAACTTTTTTTTAGATATCTGTGAACTTTAAGAGGCTCTAAAATGAAATTCGGAGGCATTTTCAAGGAATACGAGGTAGTCGGACGAGTCGCTCCAACTGAAAAGAAACCCGACTCCAAGATATACAAGATGAAAATATTCGCGCCCAATGCTGTTGTTGCCAAGTCCAAGTACTGGTACTTCATCAGTAAGCTGGTCAAAGCCAAGAGGGCCAACGGAGAAATTCTGCAATGTAAACGGATTCGGGAGTCCAAGTTCCATACTGTGAAGAATATCGGCATATGGCTGAGATATGATTCGAGAAGTGGAACCCACAACATGTACCGCGAATACAGGGACCAGACTCCCGCTGGAGCCGTTACTAAGTGCTACCGAGACATGGGATCCAGGCATCGAGCCAGGGCACATAGCATCCAGATAATCCGAGTGAAGAAGATTGAAGCGAAGGATGCGAAGAGGCCCAACATCACTCAGTTCCACGACTCCAAGATCAAGTTCCCTCTGTTGCATAATGTGGGACACCTGAAGTTACTGCCTATGTTCACCAGGAACCGACCCAGCACACTCATGCACGCCATTCGATAAAGTGCTAGTCTGTCATTGAAAAGTTTAGTCTGCATAAGCTGTGTTCTTATTCAACTTTTCAATTGAACGATCTGGTCGATATGTTTTAAAAGAGAGCTAGGGTTTTAATTAGGCCATGAGAAATAGTTTCAAGTAGGCGTGGTTTTCATTAGTCTTATTTGCCTTTTCTCCCATGTTATACTGAATTTGCTTCTCATTTTAATTTATTTAAATGCTATTTGACGCCCTGCGGTTAAATTTGGTCGTTTACAGGGATTGCGAACATGAATTTTAAGTGGGTGAAGCAAAACGGAATGGCTCACGAGTTTTTTCTCGTTAAAACATTTCGCGGAAGGGTGTAATTTTCAAACGCGCCTAATGCTGTCAAACGGTATGCAGTTGCGATTAAATACAATATTGCAGCGGATTACATCAGACGTTATAGGATGGTGATAGAGCCAAACAAGAGCTGATCTTTACGCAAGTAGTTCAGATTGTTCTGAACACAGTTAACATTGCAAAAAAAATCATTGAAAAAAAGGTCATTCTTTATAGGGAATGGGCGCGTGAATATTTAGTTGAAGCAAAATGAGAAGTGTCAATAAGTTTTATGTCCTTAAAATGGTTTGAGGATGATCGCGCATAGCAATTGTTGCCGCATATAGACTGCAGGCAACTAGGATTTAATCTCATTGCAGTGCAATGAATAAGATGTGGGATGATAAAATGGAGCGAAACAAGAGTATCTGGTTGCCGCGCAGTTGGCACAGAACATTTCCACTCCATTTGTCATCGCAAATGATAATGATAGTTTTTACTGAAATAAAAGTCATTCTTAAGCGAATATAACTCCTTCACAGAAACCCGATGAATAAAAATGACATATAAAAGCAAGAGTATGACATGTTTTTACCGCCGGTTGAATAACCAGTAGCGGATTTAGGGGGAGGGGGGCGGACGCCCCCCTCAGAGATTCGACCCAAAGGGCTATTTTCCCTTTTGTACTATTTTGAGATATCCATTTTTGGCTGACTGACCTTAAAACTTTTTTTAAGGCGCCTTCGGCGCCAATCTATACTACTTTTGAGGGGGGAGCGCGCCAAAAAAAACGCGAATTTTCGGTCGACATTTTCCAAAAAGTGCCTAAAAACGCTATTTTTGGCCAGTTTTTCAATAATTTGCCTGCGGCGCAGAAATTTTGGCCAAAACAGGGTCTTTATACTGGCTTGGTGGAGCTCAGAAAAATAATTTGGTCGACCTAAAAAAAAAGGTCGACAATTTTTTCGAAAATCCGCCCCCCTCGAGAAATTCGTTGATCCGCGCCTGTGAATAACTATGTTAAACCACTTTGAGTGGCGTCCTATGTTAAATAAATGAGAGATTCCTATGTTAAAGATTCGAGAGATTCCTATCTTAAATAAGTTTGAGTTTAGGCGTCCTTTTTAACAAGAAACCAGAATTTAGCCATATAGAAAAGGTTTAAAAAAGTAATTGAAAAGCATTTTTACATCCATTAAATGAGTGCATTTCATTTTCAGACAGAATGCCGAAGGAAATCACCGAAATAAAGGAGTTTCTTCACCTGGCGCGGCGAAAAGACGCTAAGACGATTAAGATTAAGAAGACGATCGACACGCAGCGCATCAATGTGCCCAATGCGCCCAAAAAGGGAGGAGTAGCTGCGGCCATCACGAAGAAGAAGGTGAACTGCACCAAGTTCAAACTCAGGTGCTCCAAATATCTCTACACTCTCAAGGTGCACGACACGACCAAAGCGGACAAGCTGAGGAACAGCTTCCCGCCTGGCTTAAACGTCACCGAAGTCTGAAAAAGAAGGCAATGGCAAATTAACAAAGATGATAGGAGATGATGAACGGCAGAAGTTGCTTGCTGACCTGCGGGTTCTGCTGTCAATCTTTCCTAGCAACCTTGAATTACGCTCGCTTAATTGAAAAGTTAAAGCTGTGTAATAAAGAATTGACATCATGGTTTTTTAAATAGTTGTAAGCAGTCTGATTGATATGTGTGCTTTTGATGTGTAATTTTCACTCCAAAAATAGCTGAATGATTTTCAGATTGCGATCAGAATGAGAACTAAATTCGGTTATCAAGTGCGACAGGCTTCTGGTGGATTTAGGAAGATCTTGATCATCGACGGAAAAGGTCATCTGAAGGGACGATTGGCAGCCATTGTGGCTAAGAAGCTACTGCAGGGACAGTCAATTGCAGTGGTAAGGTGTGAGGAGATCAATATGTCCGGCAGTCTGTACCGAAAGAAGCTTGAGTGGGCTGACTTCAAAAGGAAGCGCATGAACACTAACCCCAGTCGAGGCCCCTTCCACTTGAGGCACCCCAGTGACTTCTTTAAGCGAGTTGTGAGAGGCATGTTGCCACACAAGACCAAGAGAGGCTTCTACGCCTTGTCTAAACTAGAGACCTACGAAGGTATCCCACCCAAATACATCTGCAAACAGAGAGTAGTCGTGCCCAGGTGCATGACCGCCTTGAAACTGCAACCCGGCAGGAAGTTCTGCAAACTCGGAGATCTCTGCAGCGAGGTATTTTCAAAAAGCTTACTAGCTTTGGTAAAAATTATGAACAAAATGAGCTACAGAATAAAATGTGATGAAAGAAAAACGAGTTGCGAGGTTGAAATTTGATGGGGTTATCATTTTTTTTTCATTGTTTAGGTTGGCTGGAGATTCAAGCAGGAGGTGGATGATCTTGAGGCGAAGCGGAAAGCGAGAGGAGCACTGTACTACAAGATGAAACTGGAGAGGGCGGAGAAGAGGAAGAAGGCAGTAGAGGCTGCAAAGAAAGAAACAGCTCAGTACGACAAGATCTTATCCACGTTCGGAATGCTCTAGATCAAATGCCGCGACACGCAATGTTTTCACTGACTCTTACAGAGTGAACTCAATCGTTCAATTGTATTCAAGTGAAAAGTGAAGCAATTTACGTGTTTGAGTTGAAATCTTTTCCGCATTTGTTTTCCTAACTTTAAGGTGATTGTAACCCGATAAGCCGTTCATCTCCACAAAAGTCCAGTAAAAGGTAGTTTCATTGCTATGTTGATCTGAGACGTCCAAGTATCTTTTTAACACCAGATTTTAGACACGTTTAGCTCTGGTGATAAATGATGGAGCTAGTAGAACGAAGATTTGGACAATCGACTCAAGCCACTTATTAGCTTAATTTCAACCTCCCCCATATACCTGCGAAAACAGCTCTTAACTTTTAAAACTTTATAATACTCTTAGTCACCATTCAGACAAAAAAAGTCACTCTGACCGATAAGGATAAAGACTTGACTATATTTTTCCAAAGAAATTGATATTAAATGCTAATTAATGGAGTGGTTTATTAGGAGTCAATGAACATAGTGAAAGTTTTTATATAGTTTTTGATAAAAGTAAGGCAAACTCCAAGATTGAACGGCAGAAATGTAAAGTTAACCACAACGTGACTGACTTCAATTTTGAGCAGAATTTGGATTCAGTGATTTTGCAGCGAAACTTTTTTTTACCTATTGGTCCAGTTTTCTTGAATTGAGTTACGTAAAGGGTCAACCATGAGTTTTTATTTGCAACTCGAAAAAAAAACATATCAACATTACGAGGCCAAACTGTGCACTTGATAAGCGCACAACTTTGTGTCTGTATAATCCTTGATTCAAGAAACTAATCTTTAAACGAATTCCCATGGTAAGTGGATTCCACTTACAACATTTTTGTGGATTCCTCGTACAAATAACTATAACGTAATTTTTGTCGACACATTTGTTTTGTCGCGGAAGAATATAGCTAGTAGTTCTGGATTCCGCAACTGTAAGCGGGTTCCGCAAATGTATATAGATTCCGCAAACTGTAATTAGAATCCGCAAATGTAGGTGCAATCCACAAACTGAAAGTGGACTCCGAATTTTTTTATTACTGAACTTGCATGTGAACAATTAAAAGCTAGAGCTGGAATCTTATCTTTAACAATGAGGAATATAGAAGAAAGGACTCAACCATTGTCAGCTGAATTCAGGAACAAAACTTAAAACATTGGTTAACTAAGTAGGTGGATGTCATCTTTAGGATACATATGCAATCAAAAAAATTTTGGGATCATGGTTTTTTAAACACAACCCGAATAAATTTTAAATTTGGAGTCATTGGTTTGAGAGTGTTTAGAAACACAACGTCTGATAATTTGAAAACTCAAAATTTTAAAATAATCATCACTGAAAAAATCTGCCAAAAATTAAAACTTTGTTACTTTTGTTATATCATTTGTGAAAGACATCTAGAAGAGAATTCAGGTCGTTTATCATGCATTGAAAATGTAAGACCGTCCAACCTTAGGTACTTTGAGTAACCAAGGTCTTTGTCAATTGTGCTCGGTTGCAAACAAAACCCAAAATTTTTCAGAAAAAAAATAAGAAACGAAAAACAACTTTTTGGTTGATGGAGAAATACCTATCATACAATTTTCATTTATGGGAAAATGCTTGCCATACAATTTTCTGTACGTATGGAATTGTATGAAATTGTATGAACAGAAATTTCCCATTTATGAGAATTGTATGATAAGCACTTTTGGTCAACCCAGGTCATCAGCGCATGAATCAGCTACGCTTCTAAATTTTCAAATTTGAACAGCATTTGGTGTACATTGCTAAAACTTTTGACGTGCAATCGGATTTTCAAGTCATTTTCAAATCAAATGATAGCTTTTTTCATTTCGGGATTTTTTTAATGGAAACGTTTGCAAAGTCTATCGGCGTATAGAAACCAAACCTCTTATTACAACTACTAAGTTGCAAACAACATTGTAATTGGAGCCTTCAACACGACTGAAACCAGCGGTTCGTATGTTCACTTTAGTGGACAGCTCGAAAATAGCAGTTACAAGCTAATGAATTCGCAATAACTCATAGACTAGGAAACTGTATAGATTATTGCTTAATTTGAAATGAGATGAGTTTTAGTTTTGCTCAATTTGCGTTTTACTACACGGATCACGACTATTTGATGATAAAGATTTCCTTTTGAATTTTTTATTGATTTTTTGCATGATGGTTTTCATAATAATGAAAACTTCGCTAAAGCTATATACCTTTTTTGTTTTTGTGTTTTTATATAGTTTCGGTATTTTTTTGCTTAAGCCAAAAGAACACATAGAGAGAAAAAACTCAGTGGTTTTTTTTTAATTTGATAGCTACATCATGAATGGAAGTTCTTTTTTTATTGTTTGTTTCAGAATTTTTTATAAAAAAACAAACAGTACTAATATATGCCACTTATTACTTATTTTCTAAACTTGTTACTGTTCCCCTCCTCTCCTAAGACATGACCTAACTTTCAACGAAAACGTATTTTTTTAAAATTTGGGGTCGCAACCTTCTGTGGTACATGCAACGCAACTGGTTATTCTTGATTTTTTTGGATTTGTCGTTTCATCTGCAAGTGATGATATTTTTTCAGTTTCGTATCAGAAATGGTGGGGAACTTTTTGCCTTTCTGTTAAATTTGGTATTCTATGAAATCAACTTTACTTTGAAGTCAAATTTTTTTTCCGTTGCTAGAAATGAGACAAATATGGTTACAAAATATTTCGAACACTACCTTGATTTATTGAAAATCATATATCCTTTTTAATGAAAGAGCCAATTAGTTTTATAACACCGACAAAACGCGCGTGAAGGCAATAATTGCTACTGAACATAGTAAATGCAAATGAGACTCCTAAAATGTTTGAAAAGCTCAAGTTTTCTACTGCCCGAAGTACAATATGAAGGATTTTTTCAAAGCCGGTTTACTATCACTAAGAAATGCAGAATACAATAAAATGGGGCCGGCCACAGAAAGGCAAATTCATGTGAAATGGCCTAAATCAGTCTCTTTTCTCTGTTCAACCACAAAATTTTGGTTGTCAAAAATTGTTCTGCGCCAACAATTATTTCGAATTTGATCAGGGTATAAAAAATAAGTCACTTAATTTTCACACTTTCTCAAAATTGTAGAGCAAAATAAACCCATATTTGAGGGGGGAGAGGGTATATTCTCGCTATGACAAGCTTCATTAAATGGAAGATACTTCGTCCGCACACCAATGGCAGAAAATGTGAAGAACGTTTTTTTTCAATTTCAGCACAAGCAAATAAATCATATGGTTTATGGTTTAGTACAAAAGTTCTGGATATTTCTTCACAATATAGCGCCTGCACGCTTCAAAAAACAGCTGATTCTCATCGTATTTGACTGTTCCTTTCTTGAACGCTAGGATTTCCTCCTCTGCGATTTGTTTGAATGCTCGACCTGTGGCTTGTCCAGTCAGTATCAACTGAGCCCCCCACTCGAGATAGTATGTGAAGGATAAGGCGTCCGCAATAGTCCTGCCCAGAATAGATGCGCCGTGGTTTGCGTGGATGAGAACTGACTTATCCCCTAGCTCCTCCGATAGTCTGCTGCCTTCCTCGTTTTTCTTGCCTTCCCTGTAGGAGCTCTCATAATGGGAGTCGAATTCGATCTCGTTATGTAACAAGGACAAGTCCTGATGAACAATCGGGTATTTGGGGTTTTCTGAAACAAAAAGCGCGACTATTAAAACTGCCGTTCATCAATTGCCTTCATTTGCAACGTGAAAATAATGACTGTTGGATCAGGTTTGCGACCTCGGATTTGGGTGTGCGACCTCATCGCCAATTCAGATGTCACAATGACACGTTTTACATCATCTGATGTTTCATTTTGAAACGTCTTCAGTCGTGACTCGAACTCCAAGAAACAACGGCCAAGAAAAGTTGAGTTTTTGTGACTTAACCTACGGTAATCTTTTGATTGACCTTCTTTACTATTTCGATACAACCAAAAACACTCGGCACTAATTTTATTTCGTTGCGCTTAAAAGGAGGGACTGCGAATTGCTTAATATCACGTGATAGTAAGCAATTCGCAGTCCCTCTTCTTAAGCGCAGCGAAATAAATTTAGTGTCGAGTGTTTTCTGTTGTATCAAAGTGGTAGAAAGGAAGGTGAATCAAAAGAGTGTCATGACCTGCTCTGCAGGTGTATTTATGTATTGAGATATAACTATCAGAAGTCAAGTATGAGCAACTGAGCATGAGTAACCTAGACAGGAGATGGCAGTAATGTTTGTGGGGTGAAGGTGGAACAGTGCCTTGGACCAGGGTCTGTCTCTGTGGATGCCACTGTGGATGACACTGGCAGTCATGATTGGAAGACTGCTGCCCTGGACTAACTTGAACCCAGTTTGCACATCCACTTCCACTAGATTGGAGGCTGTCACTTCTGCCCAGTGCACCCCCTCCCCCACCACCAGTAGAACATCTTGTCCATCCGGGTAGTCTGGGTTGGAGCTCTTAGTTCTCACTGTCAGGTGGTTAAACACTGCCCCCACCTGGAACCCAGGCCAATCTATGGACAACAGAAGAAAAGGAACTCCGCCACTACCCGCGTATAAAATAGTCGCCGCTTCTTTATTGGTTTCTTAATAGGAACTGTTGAAAGAGCGCAGTTTTAAGGAAAGCCAGATTAATCAAGCAAGTTATTCACAGTACGAGCTGAACGGGTTTTTTTTAAAACTGGAATGGCTGCGCCTAAATTTTAGAGAAAAGAAACAGCTACATGGGCAACACTTTAAGAAGAATGGGCTGAAAGAGCTCAATTCTCTGTTGATCCAGCTACTGGTCCTTTTATCGCTCCAGCTAAAAAAAAGTCAATCCTGAGCATTTGATTCGCTCTAGTCCCCTGATTCTAAAATTCAGGTCGTCATTAACTTAAGTTGCCTGCAAATCAATTTTGGTCCCATCAGACAAAATTTTGAAATTCAGTATGTGGCAGACGCAGAAAATCAGTTGGAACGATAAGGAAAACTGGTCAGCTGATTTCACTCAGCCTAATCATTGGAACTGGCGTAGTTAGCAGTTAATGAGGTTTGAAATTTATGTATCGACCAAAAATTTGTATATTTCGACCGTCTTGACTCAGGCTTGGTTTGTTTCCTGGGTCGAGGTTGCGGTTTTATGATATGCCGGTCGCGACTAAATTTTGGTATTTCCAGACTACCGCGACTACTTTTTCAACCATGCTGCGACTAATATTTCGACCGCCGCGACTATTTTTTCGACCGCCGCGACTAATTTTTTGACCATTGCGACCGAGATACGGTATTTCAAGAGTTTGTCCGCGACTTAAAACCCTGTCCAGACTATGGATTTTCAGTAAAACAAAGCCGAAACATTAGTCGCCGACCTTGAACCGGGTTCGACCCTCTCGCCCAAGCGTGGTGTTTTTCGACTATGTTCGAACGAGGAAAACATTTTGACCCGACTTCGACTGTAGAGGAACATTTAGACCAAGTTTGACCGCAGAAAAACATTTCGACCGTGTTTGTCCGATGAAAACTGATCGATCGAGCTCGACCAAGTAGTGTTTTTACCCGAAGTAAAAGTTACTGCATCATTTAGCGTACTAGTTTATGTCAAAGTTTGGCCTGATCAACAGCATAACAGTTGGAGGAATGGGAATCAATCATAGCCAGATCTTTTTTTTAAAATATCAGTTGCCCAAAACAACGCTGATTTTTGTTTCAATTTCACGACAAAGTTGTTAAATTAAAAGATAAAATTTTTGAAAAATTGTCTTGCAAGTTACTTTTTCATACAGCGGGAGACCTCTCCTCTCAGCTCAAAATTTTAAATAAAGCTCCTTAAAACTTATGGATTGAGTCTCTCTCTCTCTCTCATGTTACTAAACTCAGGACTTACAAATGTCAAATTTTTCGAGCAAGTTTGTGGGGTAGATACAAATTTAGGATTTTTCCACAATTTTATATGTTGGAAATTGAGTTAGACTTGAAACTTCGATGAACTCCATTTTACGTTTCGACTTTCTCCTCGATTTTATGTTTCGACCGACTTGAATTTATCTTTTGACTTTGAGTTTGACAATAGGGCCTTCTTTACTATAATTATTTTGGTCGAGCACTGTTATGTTCCGCCTCGCAAAACTCAACCCGTGTAGGTAGTGTAATAAAGCTTGCCATTAGCAAGCGTTATCAAATCGGAGTATATATTTGTTTCGGGTTACGTTTCTTGGTAACGAATTTGCATTAACCTATTTTTAATGCTCAGCTCTGGATTGCACAAGATGCTAAAATCTTCATACTTTTATTGTTCAAATTTCGGTTTAATAGGTTTCGGCCTACATTATATTGGTTTATCATCTCTTTTTGCGTCTTTCGACCAGGGAAAAAATAAAAACGTGTGCGTGTTTGTGTTTTTGAGGTTGAGGAGGCTTTAGTATCTCAATAACTTCGTATCACTGTTGGTATCTTTTATTTTTGGATGTTTTTGTTTTCGACCTCTGTTATATCGGCTTAGTGGCCTCATTTTGTTTTATTTGACGAGCAAATAAAGATTTTTGTGTCTTTTGAGGACCTATTAACTTTTCAGGAGTCTGTAGTCTTAATGATTTTTTGGTTCTATTGTTTTTTTGTTTTCATTGGTTTAATCACTTAATTTTGCGTGCGTTGATGAGAAACATAGTTTTGCACCCTCCCTCCGGACACATATAAAAAGAAAAAGCCTAATTTTCTTAGCTTCGAAGCTCAACATTTTCATGGCAACGATTTTGATCTCGACTCAACGAGTTTTCAACAAGTTTTTCACTAACGCTTTTTTACTAGCCGCTCATTAAATCTTTCCGAAAATTTGTTTGAGGCCGAATATTTTATTGCTGAACGCTCGTTCCTCAATTTGAAATCATTCGAGACGAAATCATGATTATTTCGCAATGGTTGCGTTTCGATATTTTTGTGACACATTAGTTTGGTTTTTTTTCTGCTGACTTGCAAATCAATATTTTGAGATATCGCAAGAGGTGCCAGGCACCGCTTCGTCCCTGTTTTTCAAATTCCCTCTATTTGGTGTCAAACCTTGTCTGAGGGTAATTTTTATGCAAAATCAGATCTTTGAAACATCTATACAGTGCTGACATAAGTTACCCGGACAAAATGGAAACCTCAAAAATTAAAACGCATTAGGCTCAAATTGGGCTTGCTTGAGATGACGACGAAACCTACTTTGAATTTCTGCAGAAATAGTGCGGTGCAAGTTACTTGCGAAGTTCGGGCCCAAAATTTTCCGCAAAAAGCGAATCATTAAAACTACTGGTTGATTCGTTGACAAAATTAGATGAAATGGAGCCTCTTTTTTAGTCAGAAAAAGTTTCAGAAGGGCGTAATTTTCTCAATTTTTGTATATAAAAAATTCAATTTTTGTTTGTTAGACAAAACTTCTTTTTTTTACTAAAATGTTTCACCAACTTTTTTTTTCTACTAGCCGTTCGATAAAAGTTTTTGAGTACTTGATTAACGCCAGCAGCTTTATTGCTGATTGCTTGTTCCTCGAATTGAAAATCATTCGAGGCAAAATGATGAGATTTTCGTAATGCTTGTTTTTTGAAATTTTGTGACATATTAGCTTGGTTTTTTTTCTGCTGAATTGCAAATCAATAATTTGTGATATCGCAGGAGGTGCCAAGCACCGCTTCGCTCCTATATATGAAAATCTATTATAAGTACGGCAACCTAAATCTTATTCAGAATATCTTCAATGCTCGATAGTTGTGTCAGAAAAAACACGCGAGTAGCAGAAAGATCGAAAAACGAGAAAGCCACAGCAAGTTTCCCTAATATTGAATGATGGTTTGAGTTGAGAGGCAAGGTCATTAGAAAATAAATTTTAAAATCAGTTATCTAAAAAACTTCCAAAAATTAACTTTCAAACATAAGTTATGAACTTTTATGCTTTATAGTGCCAAAACTCAAGTAAAAACCAATAAGGTAAAATAACATCAAAACATACCATGAATGATTCTGTAACAGGCAGCCAAATCTTGACGATCTTTCCAATTCTGTTCCAATGCACTAGAATATTGTCGCCTGAACTGACTTCCCAGAGCCCGAGAACAAACAACACGAAGCATCTTTGTCGTCATCGTCTTAATGTGATGTCTTTTGATAATAACCATACCAATCAACGATCATGGCTTTGCTTTCAGTATGATAGCATCTGAAGAAAGCTGTAGATTACCAATCAATTGAGCTTTGCTCTGGGTCACGGGCATGGGGCCAAACTGTGACTAAATGGGTTTATCAGACTAGTTGCATTATTTAAAATATACCGAACAAATAGTTAATTTGCTAACCAAGTTACTAGTTGTACCAAATTTGCGAAAATTGTTTGATTGTATTTGTATTGAACTATTTAAGTGTGCTATTTTCACATGGTAGAGTTTAAAAGTAAGTTACATTGTTTTTATAGTCAAACTGATGTATGTTTTTGTGCCATCACATACAGTTGAAAGTACACAATTACCAAACTCTTCTGTAATCGAATCACTTCGCTTGATTTTCAAATTAATGAACTAAGTTAAGCTAGCAAAGTTTACCAGGCTTGACAAAAAATGCTTATCATTCAATTTTCATATATGAGAAAAATGCTTATCATTTTTTAACAGTCTATTTATCAGAGCTTTTTCATCAGTCTATTTATCCCCAAAACTGTATGAAAAAAGCATGATAAAAATTTTTCCATGCTATGAAATTTTATGATAAGCATTTTTTCCATTTTGTGAAATTGTATGACAAGCATTTTTTCCATACTATGAAATTGAGTGATAAGCATTCTTTCCATACTATGAAATTTTATGACAAGCATTTTTTCATGCTAGCATTTTTTCATCAGCGCAACAAAAATGCTTGTCATACAACTTTTATATAAGAAAAACATATGATAAACAATTTTTTGACAGTCAAAATGCCCACTTTCATAAAATTTGTTGAAGTAAACTCCTTAATATACACCCAATAACTTTGAATTGATTTTTGAATAATTTAATTTGTTTTTTGAAAAATGCTTATCATACAATTTTCATTCATGAAATTATTATGATTAGCAATTTTTTGGTTAAAAAAATCATGGTTTTGACTGTCAAATTGCCCTCTTTGCTTGATATCTTATTTAAACACACTTAAAGTTACCCAGACATCTTCTTGAAAACTTGACTTTTTCTACGACAAAAAGGTTATCATGCATCTTTCATACATAAAAATTGTATGACAAGCATTTTTTTATTCAAAAATTTCAAATTCTTTTCTCAATGATCATAAAGCTTAAAAATAGGCAAGTAGACCAGAATTGTTCATCAAAAAATTTACAACTTTGAAACATCTATACAGTGTTGAATTAAATTATCCACACAAAATGGAAACCTCAAAACTTAAAACGCATTGAGTTCAAATTGAGCTTAATTTAGATGAAGACGAAACTTACTTTGTATTTCTACCGAAATATTACTGTGCAAGTTACTTGCAAAGTTCGGGCCTAAATTTTTACCCCAAAAGCGAATCATTTAGGCTACTAGTTGTATCGCTGACAAAATTAAATCAAGTTCATCTTCTTTTAGAGTCCGAAAAGCTTAAGACGGGTGTCAGGTTCTCAATTTTTGTCTGAAAAAAACTCAATTTTAGTTTGATAGAAAAAATTGTCAATTTTACTTAAAAAAATACCAATTATTTCAATGAAAAATTTTTTTTTAAATGTTTTACGAAAATTTTTGGAGATATTATTCTTCTGAATTGTTGTTGTTGGGCTACACAAGAAACTCACAGCTCACTTCATGTTTTTTTTGTCAGCAATTGACCCAGTAGTTTCATCGGAATTTTTGATTGACCAAAAAAACCTAAATTGATCGGTTTTTTGGGCAAAACTAATGCCCGTGATATCGCAAATTAAGTTTCACTATATTAAATTCTTGGTCTAAAGGAGAACCAATTTAAAAAAAAACGTCTCTTCATTTCAAATTTAAACTTTTTGTTTAATTTATTTTAATCAGGAGCTAAAAACCCTATTAAAAAAAATTTTAAGCAATTCGTTACACAATGATGGTTTACATTATCCGGATCAAGCAAAGAAAAAGAAAAAAATAAACTCATTTTAACGAATATACTTTCATACAAAATGCTACAAGAAAACTAACGGGTTTCAACTTTTTTTTAAAGTGATCTTTCAGATTGTGCATGAAAACGTTTGAAGACTGCGAGCGTCGAACAACTTCGGTAATTTTAATTGAAATGACAGCAGCAAAAAAAATTGATTGATTTTGTCCATCCCTCTACATGGAGTAGCGAGTCACCAGTTTATACATAACATAACAGGGACAACAACAAATTGCAGAGATAATTTGGCCTGTAGCAATATCTTAAATTTTAGAAACAAATGTTGGGTTCTTACCAGATACATAGAATGAGATCGAAACGTGCTTGGATTTTTGGCAAAATTTCGTTTTTGACTTCTTTTCAGCGCAGAAAATATTATATTGAAATCGGAAAAAATGATGCAATCAAAAATTGGCTAGATGTTTCCCAAAAAATTTATTTTTGACTCTGGTCTGTATCAAAAAAGAAAGAAGAACAAACATTGCCGAGACTTTCATCGAAAACGTCTCTTTAGGTTCCTTTTAGTGAACCAAAACCACGCTTGAACCAGCTTGCCACTTATTAAAACCATTAGCCTTCTTGTTACCTAATCAGCACAACAGCATTCAAAACAGATAAACTTTTTAGAAAAGATTTATTCAGGAAACTTTTATTGATAGCCAAAAACTATTTTATCATTTGTTGCTGAGCGAATGGATAGACAAGTTTGAACTTTAGTTGCATATAATACAAGGACAGCAGCCGAATCCTGCCTAGGTCATTTCCTTTCTAAATCTCAAACATGCGCCTAACTTGACGCGGCATAAATTTACGCTCAGTAACCGGGCTCGAACTACTCAAAAAACGTTTGCTGTTTTGCTCAGTTATTTAAACTAGTTCAAAAAGCGGCCTTGACCGACCTTGATTGACAGGTTTTGGTATGTCTAAAACCGTGTTTTGTCAAAGTATGAACGCGAGCTGACGCTTAATAAAGGTGCTGTTTAAGTTCGTCTGATTAACCGGATTTATTATGTGTTTTAAGCCGATTAAAGTTCAAATATTCCTCATATTTTTTGCATGAATATATATATTCGAAACTAATTTTAAGACGACAGTATTTCTTGAGCATATTTTTGGTACCGCGACCCGGGAAGAATTGGATCAGAAAACTCAAATCAACAAACTCAACTCAACCAAACAGTGAAGCATCATCCACGGTAGCGACTCCGCAGACAGTGCAGCCAAGAAAATTGCACTCTGGTTCCTGGGGCAGAGACGACAAATACATCTACGAATAACAAACTTGAGAGGAGAAGTGTGAAAACTTCTGTACACGACAGTGAACATTTATATTGCACCTGCACAACAGTTCATTCCCCTCACGCTTTCTCCGCGCGATCTTTTTAGATCATCTAGGACGAATATTTAACAATCAATCTCCCTTAGCAATCGGGAAAGTAGGTACAGGGAGTGACATTATATTTAGCTAGAGTCCGTTAACTTAGCAACTCCATGTAACCGCAGGGTGTGACGACGATCGATAGGTGTCTGCAATCCCACCGGGGTCTGAACGGCTATCGAGAGAAGGTGCAGGTGTCGAGTTCGACCGTGATAAGCCACAACAGAAGTCAACTGCGTTGATTACTGAAGGTAGTGACTGACAGACTCCTGATGAAGTGGCATAAAGTGTTATAAATAATGAAGTGTTATAAATAATTACCAAATCATAATTTTATCATAATAGCAAAACACGGTTGCAGGTATTAGAACACTTGTTTTGGTAAATTGTTGTCAGCAATAAGCAAAATTGATTTTTCTAAAAAAAACTTGAGCATAAAAGCGAGTGTTACAGTTTTTTGTGAAGCCTTGGGTCAAGATTTTAGACCCAATATGTTCGGACTTGGTGAGCGTCCCGCTATCAAAAAACGACAAAAAAAAACGAAAATGAAGTCAAAATGGACTTTTTAACAAAACGGAACAACCTCGACCGGAACGCTTGAAAATTTCAGTCTAAATTATGTCAATCCAGAAAAACCTGATTCTTATTAATTAGTTTGAGCTGCGGCGACCACAGGTTTAAAGAGACTTACAACGCCCTCTAACCTACCCGAAAACGTTCGTGGAGTTAATACATCCGCCGCATCCGTTTTTTCAAAAAAAACCATTAATTTCCATAAGCTCGTTGCATCACGCTATAGAAAAGCTACCAGCAAAACTTCGTAATCATTTTGTTGATAATTGCTTAGCCATACCCGGTCTAAGTTTTAACCCGAACGCTATTAACCCCCGTAAAACGGTACAACACTACTTTGAGTTATTTTTATACCAACACCCGAATCTCGTGATTTGATGCGACGTCATAAATAACTCAGTTAGTAGACATCGAAGCAATAAGTTTAACCCTTTATCCGACGATAAATTTGTAGCAAACCTAAAACGCTCTCGAGCAAAAATTAGCACCATCGTATTTTGTCAACACACATGAACTGAGAAAATTTTGTGAAATTAAAAATTTCAGGTAGTCTAACCATCAGTATAGTCGGTAATTTGATATCTAAACCTGAAGTTAAGGGTAATTGTTCGTGCAAACAGTACCTGTCCTTACACCAGACCATTGAATTAGAGATCAAAATTTTCGGAATCATTCGCAGATAATGTAAAAAACCTCAAAATACTTGTCGCTCAGACTAATCGGAAAAATAGGTTGAACAAGAAGTGACGGGCGCTCTTTAGCAACTTTCTCTCATCTTAGTCACTTTGAAGGAGCACCTAGCCTAGGTAAGGAGGTTTTTAACTCAGTAGTGTGGTCTGGTAGCGGTTGTATAAACTATGTCATTTATGTTACCTTACTTCAATGTCGTTTCATTTGTTTTTGTATTGAAATAGGTTTTCATACGTCCCTTTCTTCAATTGTTAAAGCACATGATAACAGTTTGTTATTTTGAATCATGAATTGGGCCGTAAATTACAAAAGACTCTTGAGTGTCGGCGTATCTTGGTAATTGAGCTCCTCAATGTTCAGAAATACATTCAGAAAGTCATAAAAAAAACAAAAAAAATTACTGTTCAGCAATGCAAAAGTTTTCCTGGAAAAGGTTTTTTTTAATGAATGAGATAAGTCAAATAGTGGAATTGGCTAAGATTAGAGGCAAGATTTGAGAGAAACTGGAACAGTGGCTTGACTTGATGACAGAAAATCACGATGAGGTAATTCAGAAAACTAGGAACTATATAGGAACTCAAGGGCAAGCAAGGTCCGTTTCATCGCGTTCGGGGGAAGTGGCTTCTTCAAAAGTTTTCGAATAAACCTCAAAGTAGATATCA